GGGGGGAGAGAGGGGGGGGAGGAGGAGAGTTAAAGCTGGGGGTGATGGTGCATCGAGAGGGTGGCCGGGTTGAAAGAGGTACGATGAGGCTGGGTAGGCGTTACTGCGCGATATGGGGAAGGAACTCGCAGTATATGGAGTCCAGTTGACACACGGGAGTGGTCCGGAATCTGCAATAGCAAGGTTGAGATGCAAATCAGATGGTCCCCGATAATAGAGATGCGCTGGAGATGCAGACAGAGAGAGGGGGAGGGCGGCAAAGAAGGAGGAGCAGGAAGTGGAATCAGGCACTCCTGGCGGAAAGACGGCGCATAAAAGGAACTCAGTAAAGATCAATGGGAAAAGAAGACCAAAATAGAAAGGAGAAAGGGAAAAGGAAGAAAGAAAAGGGAAGAAAAAGAGGAAGTGGGAAAGGTTGGGGATTGAGAAAGAGGGGAGAGAGTTGAAGTATACCAGGCGGACGGGAGGGCAAGAAAGAAGAGAAGAAGGAAGAGGAAGTGGGAGAGGAAAGGGAGAGGGAAAGGGAAAGGGAAAGGGAAATGGAAGAGGGTGTTTTTTTTTTCGCTCGCTCTCAGCCCAAGGCCCAAGCAAAGAGGAGAGAAAGAGCAGGAACTACGAAGACGACCACGACAGCAAACAGTCTGGTCAGTAACTGGTAACTGCGGGCTGGCTGACCAGGCGTCGCGTTGGACTTGTCGAATTTACCAGTGCTCTGATATCAATTACTTGTTTCTTGACTTATGGACCTCAATTGTAATAGACGATAGCTATCTATGGAGAGTGGCTGGGATGAATTGTGTATTATAGTCTAAAAGAGAGGGATTTATTGTTATGGCAGTTGGTTAGTTGATCATTGGAAGAGAATCAATAGTCCCGAGTGCAGGATACAAAGTACGTACCGTTCTAGCTACGGGACTTGTGCCAATTCATCCATCCATCCATTCATCCATTCATTCATTCATTCATTCATCATCCGATATCAGATTAAGTCACATGACACTTGAGACCTAGCCCGATCAGGCAGTCCAACCAAGTGATCCACTAACCTTCAACAGGACTAGCTCGTCAACTTTTAGCTTTTGAGCCTCATGCTGAGTCAGATCGGCTATTCCTCTTTGGGCGTGTTCTTCAATCCTTCCCGTCCACGCATTTCCGACCGGGCTTCACTCTTCATCATCATCATCTCCCAACTTGGAACCTCCACCAGGTGTCCGATTACTATCATGGTTTTCCGTGGCGACCGTTTCATTCTCAACCTCGACTCTGAGGATGAACAAGAAGAACTCCCACCCGCCTCCTCTGAGGGGGCCTCCACCCTCGCCATTCCCGGGATGATCGGTGAGATTCGTGAACGCGCCCCCGCCGCAAACCCCGCGCCGCCGACCCTCAAACCCACCACCACCGGCTTTCCCGCTCATCGTCGGCGCAATAAGCCGTCTGCCTTCAAACAGCGCCGAGCTCAGGACTCATCATCGGCCACCGCATCGTCCGCAGCCTCTTCGAACATCCCCACCGAGAAGGACGAGAAGCAGGCCATCGCGGAACAGAACGACCGACAATTGGCCTCGATGTCGCAGGCCCAAATCCAACACGAACGTGAAGAGCTTCTCGAGTCTTTGGATCCATCTCTACTTGAGCGATTCCTCCGTCGAGCCCGTATCGATGACGCTGATTCTACCCCTTCATCCACGCAACAACCACCGCAACCATCATCCAAGGAGCAACAGCCTGAAAAACCAACCGAAGATCATGCACATAATCCAGCCACTATCACCACCACACCACCACCACCAGCATTGAAACAGGATGTACAGGCCTCTAACCAACATCAACAACCACCACCCTCATCATCCTCGCCACCACCGGCAGAAAACAACTCCGCAATCGACGATCTCCCACCCGCTCAACTCCCCTCCGACCTCCATCCTGCCGCCGCCGCTTCTCTCCCCCTCTCCGGATCCGTGCACTTCCCCACCGCCCCCTCCGCATCGTCCATGCCGAATCTCGATCCCTCGTCCCCGAATTTTCTCTCCGATCTCCAAACGCACTACTTCCCCAACATCGCCCACGACCCTTCCAGTCTCAGCTGGCTGCAACCTCCCTCCGCCTCCGACGAAGACCCCGACTCGAGCTCCCCCTACCACCCCGCCAGCACCGCCCAGGCCATCCATCCAGCTCATCTGCGCTTCTCCTTACTGGGCACCATCCTTCCGCCGTCGACCTCATTGTCACTTCCCACAAGTCTAGGATTGCATCACCACGGCAAAGACCCCCACGCAGCGGGGTACACGATCCCCGAGCTGGCGATCTTGAGTCGCTCGACATTCGCCGCACAGCGGTGCATCGCGTGGCAGGTCCTGGGCCGCATCTTGTTTCGACTGGGGAAGGGTCAATTCGGAGAGAGAGGAACTCCGCTGGTTGAGGGATTGTGGGCCACAGTCGAGAAGGAGGGAGTGGTCGCGGGCATGTTGGCGGAAGCGGACGATTCAGGAAATACTGAGTGTGCCCAGAAACGAGGGCCGCAGAAGGAGGAGGGAGAAGAAGAAGAAGACGCGTCCACATCCGCCAAAGATGCAGGGAGACGGCGACACCACGCCAGCGCGACCGCGTGGGCTGTGGAAGGAGTCTGGCTGTGGCAGATGGGCGGCGGAGGGGATCGTGGGATTCTCAAAGAAGGCGCTGTTCGCTCTCAGTGACACCCCGGACTTCTTTCATCTCGGGGAACCAAGGGGATTGGAGGCGAATCAGCTTGGAACGGTATGAAGTCAACGAGTCTACAACAGGTTTTTTTTTTCTTTTTTTTTTGCGTAAATACTTGTATAAATCAACTCGCATGGAGTCACGTCCGGTACAGCGATAAAATCTTTCCTCTTTTATCCACCTTACTACAGTAGTATAACCTCCCTTGGATTAGTAGAATATAAACGAGCACAGAATGTAAACATCTTAGCAGGTCATCAATCATATACCCTGCGGCACTGCCGTAGCAACAGGGAACAAAGCAACTGATTCTCTCCATATCATATATGATGCACACACCTCCTCACTCCGAATCTCCGATCTGTACCCCCCAGATCTTCCACCTAGTCTCCTCGATATAATCCCTGCGCAGCCACAAGCCGTCAGAGGAACCACCCTTGCCCTCCTTGTCCAGGCCGTCATCAGCCCGCGAGTCCAGCCAGCTGAATAACAACCGTAACTGCCAAAACCGGTCTCGAACCTCGTCCGCATCAGCGGCCCGGCCTCTGGCTGCCTGAACGATACCATGCACCGTCCGCTCCAAGACAAGTTGGATGTCTACAGCAGAGGGGCGAAGCCAGGGCACGGCCGTCAGCTCCGCCGCCGGGATTCCGGAACGACGGCGCCAGCCGGCCGAGGAAGACTGGGGCAGGACGAGAGCTTTCTCGCGGACACCCAGATCCTGCAGAGAATCCAAAGCAAAGATCCATTCCCAGAGGTTGTGGGCGGTTGCACTGGGGGTTCGTGGCCCGCTCAGAGGGGTGACTTGAGCCGGGACCAACAGGCCCTTGCCTGATTGTGTGGCGATTGTTGAAGACGGAAGGACATCCTGTGCGTCGCTAAGACCAGAGAGAGTCGACACGAAGGCTGACGACGCGCCTGTGGAGTTGTACATAGCCTTGCGGCGAAGGTAGACCGATTGGTCGCCTTGGCGAAGCTTGTCACGTAGATCAGGTTGAGCGGCAAAGTCTAGGACTAATGGCCAGTAGTCCGCGTGGCGAATCTCCACGCGGGTCAGTCCGCTCAGGTCGGGAAGGAGGCAGGGTGCCGTGACGGTACGACAGATGCCTTGAACATTGGTCCAGGTTATAGGGAGGGAGATCGGCCGGCGAGAATCGAGATCGCGCGGCACCAGGCAGCGTGGTTCGGCAGCCAGCACCCACAGATGGCGGAACGCCTGTAGATGGCATTTGTTGTCGAGTACGGTAGTGGGGAAGATGGGGTAGAGAGAGCACAGCAGGGATGCAATGGCCAGGTCCGATGTACCCAGAGTGTAATTGCCACCACCCAGGAACAACAGCCCTAGTGCCATGTGTGAGGCCATATGGCTGCCGTACGGCGTGTCCGAATCCACGCGTCCATGTAGAGACCGCAGCCGGCGAAAGAGGGCCAGATCGCCAGTGCCGGCCATGACGGCGGCGGCTGATAGGGCCACGACATCCTGGCAGTGTCGCACGGAATTGCGCGTCAGCTTGGCGTCGTAGTTGATCGCGGGCAGACGGCAGATGCGGATGAATTGGTCAAGATAGGCGAGTAGAAGATCGCGGACTGCCGGCTGAGCTGAGCCCGCATAGCGCAGACCGAGTGTGAAACACAACCCCGCAACAATATTGAAGAACGGCATGTCATCGCTCTTTAGTCGGCGCACGCTCCTCAGGCGATACCGTCGTCGATAGACCGGTGGCAGACTTTGCACAAACCACTCATCGGTGGGCCGGATACGATCCCACATGATCAAGTGACGTGCAAGGGTGCGCAGAAGAAAAATATCTGGGCGGACGTAGTCAAATCTCACCGTTGTATCTGGGATGTCGATCTTCTGCGCCAAAATTTCGTCATTGGTCTTCATGAAGATTATTGCTAACGCAATTGTCGCACCAGCTGTGGCTCGATCTAATACGTGCGCAAGGTCCACGTTCTTGGTGCCCACAGCCACAGCTAGCAGTCGCTCCACAATGTGCATGTCGCGCATACCACGAAGGTCTTTTCCTTTGCCGAGGTTGATGAAGCCCAGTGCCAACCCGGCTGCAAGACGGTATCCTTCGTCTCGCAGATCATCGTGAGCTGGGCTACTTTCCTCCTGCTCGACGTTCTCAATTTCGGACAACATAACTTCGCTCATACGTCGGTGCTGTGAGCCGCAATACAGCAGACCAATCCCCATGATCCCGGCCGTTTGGGTCAGTGGCGATAGGTTGAGCTCAGCTGCACCCAGTGGCAGCATTCGTGTAACATGAACGGAAAGAAGGCGGGTAATAAGGGTATCCATTGTCCCCAGGTAAGAGGCCGAAAGACCAAGCAGCAAGCCAATCGATGTCATCGTATGTTTGGGGGTCAAATACTTAAAAGCTACCCACTTAGCCAGCGACTTGAGATGGCCATTGAGGCCCAGAGCCAGAAGGAAGCCGGCGTGTCGGTTGGTAAGCTCCTGTGGCTTGTTGAAGAGGATCCAAGAGGTATCAATGCCCTTGGAATTTCTGGAGATAGCCAGGCCCGTCGACACTCCGTTGTGGAAGAAGGCCCAACACACCTTCTCCTCACTGAAGGAGGCTCGGTCTGCGCTAATCGTTACATTCGATGGTTTCATAACACATTGCAGCGAAAAGGAAGGAATAGGAAGTTTCTCGGTCAAGAGGGGCAGGCGACCGCTGAAGGCCAACATAGCGCGCCCAGTTGGGATAGAAAGCGTACGCAGGGTCACTAATTGCACTACTTCTTTCTGCGCCTCCAACAAATCCGAATCAGTCCACTCTGGCTCGGGTACACATTCAGCCACTGGGGCCTTGGACTGGTTTAGCAACCGTGTCGCTTCAATGAAACGCTTATCTTCGCGGAAGATCAACCTTGTCACGGACAGCCGATCTGCCTCTGCAGATATCTCGAAAGAATTGGTTGCATCGATGTCCAGAGCCGAAACACCAATGTGATGAACGTCGCGTACTGCTTCATGCGACATTGCAGGCTGCAGCGGCGCGGGCGCAGGCGGCGGTCCCGAATTGTTCCCACCTAGGGAGATACTGAGGTCTTCACGATCGATGAGCTGAAGCAGCGCTGAGCCCCAGGAGGTCGAGGCGTATATCTGTGATCGTAGGATAGTCTCATATAGGGGAGTGCTGACACCTTCCGGGAAGGTCTCGATTATGTTCTTTGTGAACCCCCAACGATAGAGAAGCTGCACCCGGTCCATTGGCGTCGAGCAGGTGTGTACTTCTGATAAGAAACCATCCAGTGCCAATGTTCGCGGGGTGAGTGCGTAGCATTCTTGCCACAGGCGACCTTTTTTGGGGGACCGATCAGAACCGATGACAAGGTTCAAGAGTGTGAAGAAAGACCCGGTGGTTCCACTCCATGCCTTTTCGAGATGCAAGAAGATCGAGGGGGGGGCGAACGGTTCGTCGGGAACATCTAGCTTGGATATACGCGTCTCGTCGAATTCCCAACGATCCATGCTAGCCATTTCGGTTCCGAGATAAGTGTCCTCTGCCCAAGTCCAGGACGTCCATCCAAGCCAGCCACCGATCTGGGCTAGGACAGGAGCAAGGAGGCCCAGAGATTTATGCGACTGTTCGCTATCGCAAATGGACAGCTTGTGCTCTTCCCGAAGGAGGTGCAACGCCACTAGAATCGTACATAGTGCTGTACTTCGCAAGCTTTGGCTAAATGACAGCGCTGTAGGTAAAGACCCCTCTGAGCCCATGACGGAAACGCCCTGCGGACTATGCAGAAACTCCCTGGCCAGAGCGATGCAACGAGTGAGGTAGGTGTTCCGACGATAGGTGGACTGGCTTGAAGGGGATGGCGCGCCCTGGCTGAGTTCGCTGTCCTGTGCGTCTTGCTCTACAACCCAGCCCCAGGAGCTGGTGTTCATCCATGATGCCACCACACCAGTAGAGCCAGACTCCTGGTCGAGCATCGCCTCCCAACTCTCCGAATCAATGTATGTTCCGCTGCTTGACCGCAATAGCCCCTTCTTTCGTCGCGTGGGCCTGATTGGGTTTCTTGTCGGTTTGCTTTCAATAAAAGGAATTGCCATTGAGAACAGGACCAGAACCATAGCTGTCCACTCCAAATCGTCATCGTCGACATCTCGCCCATGGAGCCATTTCATTACCTCCCACCACGTTGACAGAATTCCATCACCTGCCTTCTCAGAATCTGGCAATGCGAACCGGCACATCTTGAAGACATTCTTCACCAATTCATTGCTAGGCTCCATTTTGATTTGAAGTTTATGTCGGCGATTAGCCGAGTCGACGACATCAAACTTCCCTCGCACAGCGGGATGATCGAGCCCAACAATGGCAATTAACGAATCAGTCATTAGGCGTCTGACGCCGCTTTCTCTGCGACGACTCCCAGGAGCGTTTAAGTAGATTCCGTATGCTTCGTGCAACATGAGGTTACGCGGCACTTCGACCGCCTGCGGTGTACCCCACGGAGTTTGGAGATGCAAAATGCCTTGGCCATAATCGCCTGTTCTTACGGTCATGAGTCTCGATATACCGCCATCAGTCACCTTGCAAGCATCCCATACGTCTGGGAAATGCTGCACGCCTGAAGCTTGAACAAGTAGCGAGCGCTCATTCGACGCGGCACCCTTCTTAGACTTCTTGGTGAACATGCCTCCATCTTTCTTTGGGATAGCAACACGATCAACTCGAAGGTTGACAATAGTCATAGACTTTGCCTCTTGATCCACTAGGCAGAGGGCCAAGGCTGCTGAGTTGCCATCCTGTGCGTTTCCGAACTCTGACGGAGAGAGCGTAACGATCTTCGGCCGTCGTGAGGATGACTTGAACCTCAACGGGGTATGGAAGGAGCCTGAGAACTTGGAAGAAAAGCTCTCAACCTTGGTCAGGAGTACTTCTTCTGGAAGCCCCGAAGCCGTATCTTTCAGGTCCATATTTTCAAATCCTTCGAAGAGACTTTCATTGTTTAGTTCTTCCAGAAGCCTATCCACCGGCGCATCAATGAAGCTGCTCGTAGTACTGTAAACCGAACCGTTGCCGGGTGGCAAGGAGCCCCTCGGAT